CTATTTTCTACATCTATACCAAATTACAGCGAGATTCGTCAAACCGTTCTGCAGATACTTTTAACAAACAACCAAACTTTCGCATTTCTAATTAAAGTAAGACTTCTCGGTTCGCAATCAAATAATTAAATTTGAATTTAAATTAACAATAGCTTTAATCAGAGTAACATCAACAAAACAGCACAGGTCATGCTAATTTTATACCAACTAAAGTCAACGACATTTTTGACATGGTGCCCTAAAAAGGCATGACAATTGATGAGGTTGCATCCATATTGATTTGCGAATCGCGAAAGATTTGTCGTACTAATTGTTATTCAAAGTACGGAGGCTAGTGATGGTCCGGAATACGGATTGGCGGTATAATCACCTTTAAAGACAATAGCTAATATAACAGTAAAGCACCTATAAGCCATAAATACTTCATGACCTTATAATTTTACTTCTTACTAATATAAATGCGAATGTTTAGATGGATGTTTGTTTGTAGGTATCTCTAGAACGGATGAACGGATCCCGCTGATATTTAGCATGGATGTAGAACACATTTTGGAAGAACATATAGGCTACAAATAAAGTTCTTTTTATACCGCGCGGATGGAGTCGCGGGCGACACCTAGTGTTCTATAATATAAATTAGAATTTATTAAATTAAGAAGTTTTACAATGTCCGAAGGTAATGTAGGTCAATTTGTTGCAACTAAATTGTTTATTTACATAATTTGTATACCTTAATCGAATCAACGATTTGATCGTTTTCAACTTAAGCCCCTTCTTATACAAGACGACGTAAATCTTAGAAATTAATATCGTCGCGTCTGTAACGTTGATTCAACGCGAATCGACTATTCGGTCAGCACATGTAAACTGTATAAAATTGCTCCGCCATCTTGAAAAATGCAGCGACTTTTCACATTATGATGTTATTATTGTTCATATGTTTTGGCGACAGAAAAACAAAACATAATCGACCCCCGTCTACGAAGCTCCGTGATATTATTGTGTAGGTCGCTAAGGGACTCAAATAGCCCGGTTACCAAGATTTTCCAGCCTTGTGTACAAAGGGAATAACATAACCGTAACCTAAATAAATCTTACATTAGATTAAAAACCCTATATTTTCTATCTTTGAAGAAGAAAAGTTTGTGAGATGTTTTTTGATAATCAGTCTGTCAATTTTATCGTTTAATAAACTAACAATGATCATAATAAAACATATCATTTTTCTAGATCTTAGGTTAGCATGTTTCACATCTTTCCTGTTAAAGTTGTTTTATGTTTCTCGTTTAATTTTATTGCCCAGTAATGTGCTTTACTGTAATTTAGTTTCAACTTTTAAATAACTCAATGTAGGACTGTTTTCTCTTTAAGGAACGTTGACGCCATTTTCTCTAATTATATTCTAACACATGAAGTCTTTACATTCAAATGTTGTCGACTGTCATCAATAAATCATATCGTAGTTGTTGCGAAATTTATAGAGAAAATCTACGAATGAATTATTTCTTGTCTCTGTCCTCTGATTGGAATACCATAATAGGAATTCTATTTATTGTTTCTTCGACAGAAAGATAAAATAGCAACTGTTATTATAATTTCCAGGTAAAGTCTTGACGTAGTCACATGGAAGGTCTCGAATATAACCTAGACTAGGCTTTTTTATATTAAAAGATGGTAAACGAGCGAGCGGCTACCTTTAATCGCTGAAATAGCGAAGTGACCGTTGCCCATAGACATACGCAATTGAATATGCGTTGCCTACCTTTAATCGACGAAGGAGATGCACAGAAAGAAAACATTTCCATGCATCCTTTGATCCGGAAAGTCCACTTCCACTTCCCATCATATCCTAATAAAAAAAGATGGGAATGGAAAGAGGACTCAATTAGGCCTCCGGGACGCAAAAGGCTGTCTAGATTTTAGTTAACCAAGAATGTTCAGACGTAGATCTTTTAATTAATTTGCAAGTAAATACGCGTTCGAAACACGTTCTTGTGTTTTCCTTCACAGTAAGAGACACATCTTTATATATATAATTCTTCTGTGAGTGTGTATGTCACTGAACTTCTCTCAAACGACTGGAGCGATTTTGATTAAATTTTTTGTGTGTGTTCAAGGGGATCTGGGAATGGTTTAGATTCACAATTTTCATCAAATATTAACTTCATATTAATTTATTCAAATTAAAGACGTGTAGACAGGACAACGTATGTCGGGTCCGCTAGTTAATATATATGTTTTAAATAGCGTGGTTTTCTTTTGAGATTTAGTTAAATATATAGCTAACTAGATAATAAGGCACTTTTTAAATTCTTCGTTTCTCCATTAGCGTATAAACATTTAGATGAAAGATTATCATAAAAATAGTTACTGTCGTATCTTATATTATGAAATTTTCTAAAAGCCCATTGCGTAAATCTTATCCAAGTGAAATGCTATAAATTGCCTTACGCAAGCGTTCTATTGTTTTTTTAATGTCATTAGACAATGAAATTCCATTCGTTCTGTGTTATGATTTAATCTGTTATTTTTTATACTAAAGAATTCTGATATATTTTCATAGGTTTATTAAGAGATATAAACACATTTGTACAGACCCGCTATTAATTTACCATTTGGACAAGTTGTCTTGATTCCAATTTCAAATAATTTATGTAGGGTACGTCGCCAAACCTAATAGTCGGACAGACTAGTCAGTTTGACCGGACATTTAGCTAGAAAGCCCGGACGCCCTACATTATTGAAGATTTTGTCTCAGTATTAATGGGTACGATAAAAATTGCACGTAAAATATAAGCCATAGACAAGCCGGACAACCCGGACACCGTTTAAATATGTCCGGCTCTATCCGGACGCTTGACATCGCTAAATCTACAGCAATAAGTTCAAAATATTTAAATATATTATATTGTTTTAAGAGCGTCCGTGGCTCAGGGGTCAACCACTTGACTTGCGATCTGCAGGTCCCGGGTTCGAATCCCGCCATGTACCAATGTGTTTTTCGATTTCTGATTTACATATGTACATTTATCCGACGTTCTTACAGTGAAGGAAAACATCGTGTTGCAACCCGCACATCTGAGAAGAAATTCAAAGATATGTGTGAAGTCAACCAACCCGCACTGGGCCAGCGTGGTTGACTATGGCCTAATCACCCTTAACTTAGGGTAGATTCCGAGCCCCTCGATGGGGACGTATAGTCAGCTGATGATGATATTGTTTTAATATATTTCGTAAATTGTGTATCAAATTAAGTAAACTATTAAAATAGTTAAAATGCTTAAACTAGATTTTAAACACGTAAATACTTGTTTTAACATGGCGCCTAAGTCTTGCTTTTACGATTAAATTTGCTTAAACAAGACATACGTTCGTCCTAAATACCGATCTGTCGCATACCAATGTGTTTGAGTGGATGTCATCGAAAGTAAATCTGCATATCATTTCTAGTTGTGTCCTAGATAAATCCTAGGTTAATAACGATAACCTTATTTACGTATTGTCTGTTTGAAGTACACGTTTGTTAATATTCTAAACATATAATATAAAAAAGAAATAATTGCCTATGTGTTCTTCCACTCTTTATTCTATATCCTTGCCAAATTTCATCTTGGCCCTTGAGTATCTTCAAAGAAACATCCATCCATCCAAACATTCACATTTAGTCTTAATAATATTATGCATGCGAATGTTTAGATGCATAGATGGATATTTGTTAGAAGGTATCTCCAGAACAGCTACATGGACCTCGCTGAAAGGTTTAGAACATAATCTGGAAGAAAACATAGGCTACTAATTTTTTTATTAATTCCGCGAGCAGGGAGTCACGGGCAACAGCTAGTATGCAGTAATAAAAAAGACATTTAGTTGTAAATAGATTCAAAACAGTGTTATGTTAATCAAGTAACATCCAATGGATAAATAAATAAAAGAAAATACTTGACATTTCCTTTTAACATTTTTAAAGCCTTTTAAGGGTATCTAACAACTTAGGTGTGTTAAAAAACGATGTCACGAAAGATGTTAAAATAGATACGGGAAAGTAGAGTTTGCTTTTGTAATATCCGGTCCCATTTTAGTTAGAACTTTTAAATAACTATGTAAAAAAACTTGTTTTGATGTGAAATAACTTAATTAAAAACCTATTGTATTAAATTTTCAATCTTTTTTAACTCGAATACAATATTTATGCTTTACTATACTAGCTGTCGCCCACAACTCCGTCCGCGGAGATATAAAAAAACTTAAATAATAGCCCATGTGTTCTTCCAGACTATGTTCTACACGTACAAATTAACGTAATCGAGATACTTTCAGCCGTTCTATTTTCTATGTCTTCAAACCCACTTCTTTCATATTAGTAAAATATTGAATCCAAAAAGTATTTCCTAATAACTAATTCTTGTAACAGTGGTATATAAACTCGAAAGTATCCTAGGATTTTGGTCAATATTCGAATGAGGTAATTCGAATCCACGACCCCTAGATCAGCAATACTTTAATTAGGCTATTGGGGCCAAAATTAAAATGCACAGTAAACTGTTGCAATTTAACTAAATACTGCTATTTTCAACTAGTTTAATGTGTAGTTAAATCGTTATAACGTAACTAATCTGTGTTAACGTCAACATTAACGATTGACTCGTTGCATACTAGGGTAACCATGACTAATTGTTTTAGATGGATTCGACACACCATTGCAAGACTTTTCCGCATTGTTGTCATAGCAAATAAAACTTTAAAAACCTACAAATAGGGTACAAGATTGCAATTGAATATTGAGAGAATTTCTCGTATATTAAATATCTTGTAGTGTCCGTAACAATCATGAATTTCTCCGACCTTTTGCCGAAAAGTTAGTTTTGTAGTGTTGATGTTTTGTTTTATTTTACGTATGTAATCCAATTATTTTCTAATAGAACTTATTTTTCATTGTTCTCGAATGTTCTTGAAGAACTTAAGATTCTTATTATTATAAGACTCGTTCTTTCTTGTTCTAGAACGTTCCGGAGCAGCGCCCGGAGGCCGCGGAGATGCAGGCGCGGCACAGCTACCTGTGGCATCTCCTCATTGATCTGCCCATCCTTATATTAGGTAAGAAATTACAGCTACATTTTCGGTGATATACAAAACACAATTAATAAAAGAAAAATAAACTATTCATGCCTAGCTTACATCAGTACTGTATAAGAGTTGAGCTGGTTTGGTACCGCAGTTTAGCTCACTGGCGCCAGCTTGTGTTTATATTAAGCCAGTATGCCAGCACCGATGAGTGTTACTGTCTTACTGTACTGGCTTAATGTAAACCAGGGATTCGTAGCACCGCGATCAACAGAGGGTGGTTTTAAAAACAACTGATAGAGCACACTTACTGCATCGCACAACATAAATCTTTCACCGGACAATGTAAACAGTGAGTTATTGCTAGGGCTGTCAACTTTCTCTTACTGTATTTAATATATAACATTGCAGCCATTTGTTATAACGATTTGTATAGTAATTAACGGATAACAATTTCTCTAAAAGTAATGGAGTAGTATTGAAGTAAAAAACTTTTTTTTTCAAGTACAATTTTTTTTTATTTATTAACTGAACTTCAAGTAATGTTGCTATTAAGGTCGAAATTAAGTCATTTTATATCTTGGAACCTTTTTATTGTATCTATAAGCTTAATATTATCTCAATGCATCTCAACCCTGATATTAGCAAAATAAGTACCAGGTCTTTTGTACCCGGTGGCAGATGTTGCGGTTTTAGTTCCATCAGCTATTTTATGACCCGGAAACCTCGACAACAAATCATTTTGACCACAAATTGTAAACAAATGAACTATAACTTGGAGACTATGTTTGTTAATTTACTTATTAGTTAACTTTTTAATATTCACATGGAACCTTACTAATATTATAAATGAGAATGTTTAGATGGATGGTTGGATATTTGTTTGAAGGTATGTCCGGAACAGCTCAACAGATCTCTCTGAAATTAGGCATACTCGTATATCGTAGTCTGGAAAGACACATAGGCTACTCATGAAGTTTTTTTATCAATCCCGCGCGAACACAGTCGCAGGCAATAGCTAGTACAGAATAATTTATTGTTGTTTAGAGAAAAAAATCCAATAAGTATTTCAAAATTTCTTTACATTGATTTTTTTATCTACTTTGAGAATCTATTAGTTAGATGTACATACACAAGAATACTTACGAAAATTCAAACAAAGTAAGAATTAATTAGTAGTTTTAACTTTAAAATACTATGAAAGACATAATTTTGTTGAATTCTTTTCATTATTGGTGAAAAAAATGTGTCGCGTGACATAAACAAAAAATAAAAAAAAAGCAAAACAAAAAGACAATTCAAAGTGACAGCCCTAGGCAATACGTCCCACAAACACCATTCAACGGCTAGTACCAACGTTAGAACACGAATGCAAAAAATAAACAATATCGTAGTAAAATAACTGTTAAAATGCAGTAACGAAGCTCAACCAACCAGACAAAGAGAACCGGATTACGCAAGTGTTAAGTTTGATGAAGAAAACACGCTATATAACTTAATCGCTTGCAAAGTTACTAACGGAAAAAAAACTACTAATTTGAATGTGACTGTACAAGAAATTAAACACATCGATATCTTTTAGAGTTCCGTACATTGATAGGAAAAAACAGAACCCTTATTGGATCACTTTGTTGTCCATCCGTCTGTCTATCAAGACCCTTTCTCTCAGGAACGCGTTAAGAAATCAAGCTGGAATTTATTTAACACTTTCCATGCCACAAGGATAATCTCCACGAGATTAACTCGCGAGACGGTAGCACTGAACGTGTTAAATTCTATCATCCTTATTATCTCTAAACACAATTAAAATAACTGTAATATATTTTGTAAAGGGGTTTCATTGATAAAAACTTACAGCAATTCATCTTTAAATCATAGTAAAATCTTCACGCGTATTTTATAAATTCGTAGTTTCTTTTAACCAATGTAAGTACAGAAAATAAAAATCTTCGAGTCATTCTACACTCCTTTTTTTTTTTTTTTTTTATAGTCAGGAAATGCATTTATGCACGCCTACGCCGGGCGGTGCAATGGCGTAGGGAGTGTGGGACTCGCCGGCCACAGAAGGTGACCAGAATACCCACTAAAACCTGACTGCCCTCTGACGCATTATGGCGGGCGCCACGGGAACGCTTTCGCTTGCTTCCGTGGGCCCGCCTGCGTTTCGCCCTGAAGGGGCCTCCTACTCACGCATGGTTAGTGGGGGGAAGGGCGGCGGCAAATTTTCGCCTCCTTCTTCCCACTCTCCTGCGTCTGAGCGGGGGCGCGAGGGGATTATCCTCGCGCTCTCGCTCTCTTTCCTCCTTCTGCGAAATTACTATTTCGCAGAAGGAGGAAACTGCCTCCCATGACCCCTCACTGCCCAGCATGGCGCGAATTACGCCTGGGAGTGAGAGGTGTCATTCTACACTCCTAATGTAACTGCAAGTTGACTGAAAATCAATACAAGGAAGGGGAATACAAGGGAAGGAAAAGCCCGTAAAGGATCTAGTGCCCTCTCTATTCGTCGGTGGGGTTCAAGCAATTACTTATACGTTACTTACAATATAAGAAAAGTTTTTATACTATTTGCCACCGTAACTGTTTATATATTAAAGTTAAAAAATAAAGAATACTATGTATATAATAAATATATTATGTATTTTGTAAATAACAATAAACATTATTTCAGAGATTTTTATTTATACTTATTCATTTATTAAACTTATTTTTAATATATTATAGATTGTAAACATTATTGTTATAATCCTAAAAATGTTGCAAACCCCCGCACTAGAATCTAATTGATTTATAATTACAACTAGCTGTCGCCCGCGACTCCATCCACGCGGAATTATAGAATTTAATAAGTAGCCTATGTGTTGTTACAGACTATGTTCTACATCTATGCTAAATAACAGCGAGATGCGTTCAGCCGTTCCGGAGTTAAACAAACATACATTCATCCATACATCTAAACATTCGCATTTATAATATTAGTATAATTATAGCAACAGAATAGCTTTACAAAAGTACTCTAAAAGCCAAGAAACAGACCAACATAATGCAACAACAGAAACACGAACATTGTTGACTGATTTGAAAAGTCAGTGCCTAGACAGCGCGACAAATGTTGAACACCCCTGCTTTAGAAAGCAGATAATGCTTGTACTCGATAGTGAACAAAGCTTTCTTTACTTTGATATACTTTAAAACGTAACTGTGAGTTTCGATTCACGAAGCACCGGTTAAAGATCTTCATCCTTGTCTTTCACATTGGAAATGACAGAGATGATGTCACTCAGTGAACTTCTATGATTAATTGTAAAATAAACTATCCTTTAAATTTATTTGCCATACTTCTATGAAATATATTGTCTACATTTCTTCTTACTTATCTTACTAATATTATACATGCGAATGTCTAGATGGATGGATGTTTATTAGAAGGTATATCCAGAACGGTTCAACGGATCTTGATGAAATTTTGCGCAGATATAGAACATAATCTGGAAGAACTCAAAGGCTATTTATTAAGTTTTTTTTTTAATTCCGCGCGGATGGAGTCGAGAGCGACCACTTATTTATACCTATGGAGATTGCTTTTAGAAGTGAGTTTACCTCTTCCTTAATGACTACAAGACGTAGTTTTTTAGTGTTTTGACACTGAAAACTTATCATACGACACCTCTATATTAAACATTATCAAAACTGACAAACTCATCGATCTGTGTCAAATCTATTTTGACATTACGGTCGCAATTCGATACCACATTAAAGCCAATGACCTGGAAAATAATAATTATGTTAGATTTAATTATTTATGTGACTAATACATTGTGTGCGCGAGTGTACTTGTGACGTGACACCGCATAGCTTTGTCAGCATTGTGCGGTGTCAAGTGTCAGGTGACAGGGATACGGCCACCCAATGAGTGTCATCGGGGTCAACTTGTGTTATGTATAAATTATTGAAAATTCTTAAATTATATGGAAAAAATTATTTATTTCTTTGTTTGACAATAGATGACATATTGGTAAACATCTTACTTCATGGATATTTGTTAGAAGGTCCGGATCGGCTGCTTCGACGACACGACAGACCGCCAGGTTCCATCCACACCATCTCGATGGCTGGCAATCCACAACTTTGCGGTTTGCACAAAACTTCCTGCCTCGCACAGCAACGTTTTGGAATGGTCTGTCCTCGGCGGTATTTCCAAAACGCTACGACTTAGGGTCCTTCAAGAAGCGAGCTTATCACCACCTCAAAGGCAACGCATCTGCGATTCCTTTGGTATTGCTTATGTCAATGGGCGTCGTTGAACACCTCGGTGTTCCAGCTGCTCGTTTGCCACCTTCTCTTATATAAAAATGGATCTCGCTGAAATCTGGCATAGATGTAGAAATATTGACTGGAAGAACACATAGACTACTAATGAATTCGGCGCTGACGGAGTAGCGGCCGACAGCTAGTATAGAAGGAAAGGAGTGCAATAACAAATTAAAATACAAAATAAACTTTATTTTGTCTATAGAAAGGCAATTTAAAGCTTTTAAAAGTGTGTAAAGGTTCTTTATAATCTGTATAATGCTGGAGTAAAATATATTGAACATTAATCCGATTCATAAACTCTTGCATAACATATTAAGTTAACTTAATACAGAAATCTTTTACACTCGTTCAAATAGAACTAAGTTGTATGACAAAAAAGCTATGTCAATAATAACTAGCAGTAAACTGGCACAAAATAAAACATTTCAAACTATATCGATTTTCGAATCGATTTCCCACGAAGTATATATCCAAATGATTTGAATAATCGATTTCGTCACTCGTTATCGAGACGCATCTGATGACAGACGATAAAATTGTAATAAAAGATAATAGCGAAATACTATACCGATTTAAAAAGACATTCACAGATACAGAGAAATTTAGATGCAGACCACGGGCCGTTTGATGGTTAATTAAACATCCCTTAGTGTTGATTTCTTATAAGAAATATACACTAAGGAACTGCCTATCTCTTTCTCTCTACTCTCTCGTCTCTC